TTACATGATTGAGCAATTGGAAAAGAAGATCCGCCGCCCAAGGCAGTTTTCGTACAAAGAATTGGATTCCGCGACCAGACATTTTTCTGAAGAAGAAAAACTTGGAGAGGGAGAATTTGGTGTGGTTTACAAGGGCTACCTAAAAGATTTGAACTCTTACATTGCTGTTAAGAAGATCTCAAAAGGATTTGAACCGGGGCTTAAGGAAATCGTGTCAGAAGTAAGCGCCATCAGTCGACTTAGGCATCGGAATCTGATACAACTCATTGGTTGGTGCCACGATGAAGGGGAGCTCCTACTTTTCTATGAGTTCATGCCTAATGGCAGATTAGATTATCATTTGTTCCAAGGAAAAAGCCGGTTAGTTTGGGAGATAAGATACAGAATTGCTCAAGGCTTGGCCTCTGGGTTGCTCTATCTACACCAAGAATTGGAACAATGTGTCCTGCACAGGGATATCAAATCCAGCAATGTTAAATTGGATTCAAATTTCAACGCTAAACTGGGGGGTTTCAGGTTTGCGAGGCTTGTGGACCATGGAGAAGAATTGGAGGAGATGACTACTATAGTTGGAACTTTTGGCTACATGGCTACTGAATATTTGATGACACGAAAAGCTAGCAAGGAGTCAGATATCTATAGCTTTGGAGTTGTTGCTCTGGAAATAGCCTGCGGAAAGAGAGGTTTTGATGTATTGGAAAGTGGTAAACCTAATATGGTAGAGTGGGTTTGGGAGCTTTATGGAGAAGGTAAAGTCATTGAAGCAGCTGACCCAAAATTGTGTGGAGATTTTGATGAGAAACAAATGGAGTGTTTGTTGATTGTTGGGTTGTGGTGTGCTCATCCAAATTACAATTCCAGACCTTCAATACAGCAAGTGATTCAAACGCTTAACTTTGAAGTTGCAGTGCCCATTCAAGCATCAAAGATGTGAACTGCTACTTCTCCTCTTACAATATCAGTTTCAGGTTCGTCTTCTAGTATTGGTTCTGAAGGAGGGCAAGTTGATGACTCTGGCCCTGATTATACCACCAATTGCCCAGAGATCACTGAATCTTCTGCAACAAATTCTCCTCCGTCAATTTCGCTCGGCTAAGAAATAAGTTTTGCTTGTGATAATCTCGAATGCTACATTGATGAAACCCATGATTATAAACGTAGGTTATTAATTAGTAAAACTGATCTAGAAGAAGCATTAGGTTGGTGCTAATGGTTTTGGCTCTCTGCATTTCACCGATTGCCATATTTTTTGTCTGTAAGTCAGATCCTCTGTTTCTTTCACACACACATGACACGAATGTCTTCTCATGCCACCACCACATGAATAATAAGCTTCAGTTCTGTTTTTTTTTTTCAATCATTTCAATTATGAAACCCTTCTGTATATATGTTGTGTTGTGTGAAGTACTGGTGAAATTTGATTTGATCATTTCGTAAGCAGATTTACAAGTAGTGAGCCAAAAAAAACACAAATTAATTTAGTATTAAAGCAGCATAACAAACAGCACAAACATTGACAAACTTTTAACACAAAAAACCAAAAGAAGAAACTCCAAAATCTAAGACCAAAAACCTGCATTCACAGAGAGTCGGGAGCAGCATCCTGAGTCAGCCCTCCTTTTTGTTTCTTGCGCAAGACAAACACATCAGCCTCTTCGTACGCATAATCCGGGTGCAAATCCTGGTGCGGAACTTTCTCTATCACAAAAACCCTCTCACACATTTCCCAGAACAGTTGGTGTGCTTCCGGAGACCTCAACTGGTACCCAAGCAAAACGACGCCGTCGTCCTTCACCAGAGCCTCCATGGTGGACACGAGCGGGCCCACAGTCTCCTCGGGCCGAGCTCCGCGGCTCGCTTGCCGTGGAAGTCGAGGAGGTTGGCGTAGGGGTTTTGGGCATCGGGGCTGGGTGGGGCCCAGCGCTCGGCGAATTTGACGAGGACCAGGGAACAGGGCCAGACGGAGGTGCCGACGTGGAGGGAGCCGTTGTCCTGTTGGAGGGAAAGGACGGCGGTTCGAACCGGGAGCTCTATCACGGGTGAGTCGGTGAACTTCATGCCTCCCAATTCTCTGGTCCCTAATTGTTACTTTGTGTTTTTCTTGTTGCTACTTGCTTGTATTTTGCTTTTATTAATGTTAAATTACTTTTTTTTTTTCTATTTTTAATGAAAATTAAACAACATTAACAAATATAAATTGGCTTGGAAAATTTTAATATTTGATTCTAATGTAAGTTATTAATTGGCTGGTCAATTTCTTTTTATATAAATCTCTTGTGAAAGGCTAAACTATTAAAATTCTGCGATTATATGTAGTAAAATTTGTTTATTCGTCAATTAGTTATTAATTTAGTGTTATTTCTCTTATTGAAAGAGATTTTAAGTTTGAATTTACAAACTTTTATTATTAGCTACGGCACAATGTAACTCAAAAGTTCTTTTTTTTCCCTTGACCAAGAGTATGATGAGCTAACTCTTTCAATTTCAATGATAAACTCTCTAAAATGACACAAATGCATGAGCTAATTTCTAAGGATCTTTCGAATCTCAAAAAAGAAAAACAAGTAAACTAGAAGAATAGGCTTTAGAAGTTTGAAAGTTGATGGTGTCCATAGGAGAGACTTTAAAGAGGGCTGGCCCAAGCTCAAGGCGAGCACGGCTGTAGCTTGGGGTTGCTAGAATATTTGGCTGATTCGTCATGATTCATAGGCAAAATGAGTATAAGAAAACACAAATAAAACATGTCTAAAAGTCATTCTTAGTCTATGTAGTTTACATAATTTTCACTTTTCGTCAATATAGTTTTAATTTGGTCAATTATACCTTTGTAGCTTCATAATTGTAACAATTCAAAGACAAAATGTGAATTCCGTCATATACCTATTCTTTAACGGGGTCAGGGGTATTTTCGTAAACTACTGATTTTGACGTAGGGTTTGTTGATTAATGAATTGAGAATTAGGGCCAGTTTGGCATTGTTGTGCTGTGAAAATAATTGATGTCAAATTTGCCGTGATAAAAATCAGCTGTCAAAGAAAGCATTTTGGCGTTTGGTAAAAATTTTGTTAAAAGTGTTGTTGGTACTAATTCTCGCATAATTTGAAAATGATTGCCACATAATCATTAAATCCAATGCTTCTTCCAAACTGATTCCTGCATAATTAGAAAATGAAAGCACCTCATTAGCTGCTTTCTCTTATAGCTTTCTATCACAACAATTTTTAACAATAAGTGATTTTCTTATAGTTTACCAAAAGGGACCGAGCTTCCCAAAATTTTTAAAAAATCACTTATCATCCCAAATAAGCAATACCGAACGGGCACTTAGATTGGGAATGCATTGATTACTATTCGCTACTTTGGTCACTTTGGAATTTCATTTTAATGACAAATCAATTGCTTGTTCTTCTTTACGATTAAAAAAATACTTAAATTTAAGTTTCTATTTTTTTATACTTAAAATGGACAGAAATACCCCTGATGTCGTGAAAGAAATTGACGAAATTCGTGACTTGTCCTTGAATTGCTACAACTATGAAACTATAAGGGCACAATTGACCAAATTAAAACTACAAGAATGAAAAGTGAAAATAGATGAACTTCAGAGACCAAAAGTGACATTTAGCCATAAAACGTACCCTAAAATATTCGGGTGACTCATCACTGCAATATAGAGAAGTAAAAGAACTTAGCCAAAACGACAAGATTGACCACGAAAAGAAGACCTGGAATACTCATAAAAAAACTAATTTGTTATAAACAATAAAATTATCTATTGGATAATGCAAATATTACAATATAAAAAAAATGATCTACATCAGAGTTATTAAATCAGACCTATTCATAGAGTGTTTTGTTTCAATCTAATCAATTCATTATTTACAAGCTCTGACCAGTCACATTGAAAAGAGGTCAAACATGCATGTCAAGGAAAAAGTAACAGAAGAAACCCAAAACTTTCCAAATAATTATGCAGCAATATCCAAACCAGTTTCTTCTTTGTTGCAGTCCTTCTTCCATCCCAAGTGTGGAATTATCCTTTGTTGTAGTCCTACATGACCCGTCTATTCATCAACTTCACCCCGTCAACCACGCAAAAGAAATATTTGAGCAAAGAATATATAGATACAAGAAATTCACATAGTCACCGTCACCGTGGTCTCCACTCCCATCCCATGCCAACACCACCACCACTCCCTTGAATCTTCAATTCTTTATTGGGAGTTTCACTAAAACACCCAAAATGGGGGTTGAAATTATAAAAAAACCCAAGCACTATTTAAACATATAAACACACCCAAAATTCATCATTACACACACTCAAAATCCATTTATAAACACACCCAAAAAGTTGACTTTGTGGTTGATTTTGGGTGCGTTTCTATGTTTAAATAGTGCTTGAGTTTTTTTATAAATACATGTCTAGTATTGGGTTTATTTATAAATTTGTATTTTAATTAATACCGACCCCAAACCTGTGAGGGTAAAATGTCGTTAATCCATTTCATATCTTTTACTTTTAATATCAAGCCATTCAAGTTGGACCATTATGGTCGTGCACGAAAATTTCTCTCTCAACTTATCTCTTTTATCCATGTTGACCAAAACAAAACAAGGTGATGAAACTCAAATCTGACTCGAGCCTTCTCAATGTCAAATGTCACTGAATTTGGACAAAAAAATTTCACCTGCCACACCATATGAGCTGGCCATTCTTTAAATTAGACAGAAATTTTAGACCGTCACCATGGTCATCGGTCTCCTGCCATCACCACTCTCTTAAATATTGACCAACCACTACTTGAATACGACAATGAATTAAGAAAAGTCACCTTTGCAAACAACAAAATACAAGATTCAAAGAGTCTAAATTTCATGTGTATATTTTTATTGCATACCACGTCAAACTGAAAACTGAATGCAACTAAACATACATAAATAGCATGTCAAGCTAAACACTCAATTGCATGTTTGCTAAAGTCTCTGCAAAAAGGTTAGATATGGCACTCCAATCACTAAACCTTCTTCTATCCCTCCTCTTCTTTCTGTTCAGCCCTCTTGCAACTCCTTTAACCTTCAACTTCCCAAGATTTTTCAATGTCCCCACCAACATATCCCTCGAGGGTGTTGCTGATATTGATAGCAACCTCATCAGACTCACCAGAAACCCCGGAGAAAATGGGAACGTCGGTCGAGCCACCTATCGTGAGCCCTTCCTCCTCCGGGAAAATGCCACTGGAAAACTAGCTGATTTTACCACAACTTTCGCATTCATAATAGATTCAGGCCACGCAGATGGGATGGTGTTCTTTGTTGCTCCAAACGGATCCTTACTCAATAGCGCAGCAGGAAGTGGTAGCAAGCTCGGCCTCCCTGTCGAAGACCTTCCTGGAGACATCTCAAGGACTCAGTATCCATTTGTGGCAGTGGAGTTTGATATCTTCAAGAATACAGTGCCAACCATCAACGATACTGACGGCGATCATGTTGGCATTGACGTCAACTCTCTCAAGTCTAATATTACCATGCCTTGGAATGGTGGTATTGAGGAAGGAAAACAAAACAGTGCTCGGATTAGTTATAACTCTAGCTCAAAAAATCTCAGTGTTGCCTTCACAAGTTTCCAAAATGGTACAAATGGTACCCAAGTTGAGGTAATCAATTATCTTTATTACATGGTTGATCTGAAACAATACTTGCCGGATTGGGTCATCGTTGGGTTCTCTGCTGCAACAGGCAATGAGGTTGCTGTGCATAAGATTGTCTCATGGAATTTTACTTCAACTGCTCTGGTTGATGAACCCAAGTCAGGAAATGCAAATGCCAATATAGGACTCCCAGTTGGTTTGGGTGTTGGTGGGTGCCTAATCTTGGTTGCTGGGTTGGGTTTGGTTTGGTTCATTTTTTGGAAGAAGGGGAAAGCAGCAGGGGAACATGATGAGAATCCTTTCGCTAATAGCTTTATTCATGAGGAACTTGAAAAGGGCATCGGCCCAAGGAAGTTTTCCTACCGCGAGTTGGCTCGAGCAACAAAAAATTTTGAAGAGGGAGAGAAGCTTGGAGAGGGAGGATTTGGAGGCGTGTATAAAGGCTTCATAAAAGACTTAAACTCACATGTTGCTGTTAAGAGGATATCCAGTGGATCTAAACAAGGATTGAAAGAGTATGCATCAGAAGTGACTATCATTAGTAGACTAAGGCATCGGAATTTGGTGCAACTCATTGGTTGGTGCCATGAAAAAAAAGAACTCATGCTTGTCTATGAGTTCATGCCCAATGGCAGTTTAGATTCTCATCTTTTCAAAGAAAAAGGCTTGTTAACTTGGCAGATAAGATACAGTATTGCTCAAGGTTTGGCATCTGGGTTATTTTATCTACATGAAGAATGGGAACAGTGTGTGCTCCACAGGGATATCAAGTCCAGTAACATTATGTTGGATTCAAATTTCAATGTGAAACTTGGGGATTTTGGGTTAGCTCGACTTGTGGACCATGGAAAACAGTCACAAACAACAAATGTGGCTGGAACCAGGGGTTATATGGCTCTGGAATACGTTACCACAGGAAAGGCTAGCATGGAATCCGATATCTACAGCTTTGGAGTTGTTGCTTTGGAAATTGCTTGCGGGAGGAAACCCATCGATCTCAGTTTAGAAAGTAGCCAAATCGAAATGGTGGAGTGGGTGTGGGAGCTTTATGGAGAAGGCACACTTATTCAAGCAGCCGATCCAAAACTTTGTGGACATTTTGATGAGAAACAAATGGAGTGCTTGATGATTGTTGGGTTGTGGTGTGCTCATCCGGATTATAAATTCAGACCTTCAATACAACAAGCGATCCAAGTGCTTAACTTTGAAGTTCCATTGCCCATTCTCCCATCCAAGATGCCGGTGGCCACCTATTTTGCTCCTCCAACATCACTCTCAACGGTGACCACTGACACTACTAGTTCTGAAAGAGGTCAAATTGAGTCTCACGACGAGGTTATAACACCGATTCCTCACAATTCACCACATCTTCTCCAACAAAATTCGTGTCCATCAACAACATTTCAGTCTCCACGATAAGTCTAAGTTAATAATTGTGATAAACTGTGTTGAAATCTTTTGGAATTATCTTTCAATTGTATTCATTTAATAGTTGACAGCATTGTTGTGTTCATGTTGTAAATCTATACATATAAAGCAAAAGGTAGAGAATGGTAAAACATTCAAAATATCAGAAAATGTCATTGGTTAATGCAAACATTAAGAATTGAAATTATTAATTAAATGAGGATAATATGGTAAATTCACACTTTTTCATATTAAAAAATTTAAAATTAAAAGAAAAATTAGATAATGGATCCTATTTTTATAGAATACAACTACCGATTATCTTTTTTTAATTCTAAAATTTTTTAAGAAAAACCTCTCTCGCAGGTACGGAAGCGCGTAAGAAAGGCTAGTACTTTATTAAGTTTTAACTATTTTCTTTTCTTTACAAGTCTTGTCCATTGACGACACTTCGGCTTGAGCAATAAGCCTAATTTTAAATAGACATGTATATATTCCAAGTTTTTTGTAATTTACTTTGTATTTTATCCCATTAAACTTAGGTACTTGACAGCATATTGTTGTAATTATTTTATTCATTTGTTTACAACTTATTGTTTTGAGATATATCTTTAGGCCGAATGTTTTTTTTCTTTGGACCGGATGAAATCTTTAGGCAGATATACTAACACAGAAAAAGAGTGCAGAAAGACTAATGCTGAAAGAGTGCAGGATAAAAAAACAGGGAGTCGGAGTAGCATTTCACTATCTTTAAACTGATATATATATATATATATATATATATATATAGAGAGAGAGAGAGAGAGAGAGAGAGAGAGTAATACAAATGGTCGAATTATACATAAAATATGGTTCTTCATTAACATAGTGATGGATGTCTGTTAAATCATCCACATTGACATTCATTCTCTTCTGTTTGTTTGTTGGAAAAAATAAAAGTGTAGGAAAGCTTTCTTACTTTTTCCGTTGTCTTCTCTACACCAGGCAATGATGTGTGAAAGCGGGGGCTGGGAGAGAGTGGTTGTTAAGGCTAGGGGGAATTTCTTTTTGTTTTTTGGATTTAAAAAATATTATTTTTATATTATTTTTAAAGAATTCTTTATTTTATTTTATCCACACATTAGCATAAAGCGGCACCTCACTTGCCACATCATCAATTTAACATAAATTTAAAGGGTGGAGTTGACGGAATGTATAATTTGGTTAGATTTAAAAACTTTGAGTTTCATATTGACAAAATTGAAACCTCGGGACTCATTTTGATAATGACCACAAACCTGTATGGGGTGAAATTTCGCAAATCCATTTCATATCTTTTACTTTAAATATCAAGCCATTCAAGTTGAACCGTTACGGTGGGGACAAAAATTTCTATCTCAACTTATCTCTTTTATCCATGTTGACCAAAACAAAACGAGGTGATGAAACTAAAATCTGACTCGAGCCTTGTCAATGTCAAATGTCAATGAATTTGGACAAAAAAATTTCACCTGCCACACCACATGAGCCGGCCATTCTTTAAATTAGACACAGAAATTTTAGACCGTCACCATGGTCATTGGTCTCCCATCATCACCACTCTCTTAATTATCGACCAACCACCACTAGAATACGGCAATGAATTAAGAAAAGCCAACTTTGCCAACAACAAAACCTATGACACAACAAAATACAAGATTCAAAGAGTCTAAATTTCATGTGTGTATTTTTATTGCATACCACGTCAAGCTAAAAACTCAATCGCTTGTTTGCTAAAGTCTCTGCAAAAAGGTTAGATATGGCACTCCAATCACCAAACCTTCTTCTATCCCTCCTTTTCTTTCCGTTCAGCCCTCTTGCAACTCCTTTAACCTTCAACTTCCCAAGCTTTCCCAATGGCACCAACAACATATCCCTCGAGGGAGAAGCTTATTTTGGCAGCCAGCTCATCAGACTCACCAGAAGCCCCGCAGAAAAATGGAACGTCGGGCGAGCCACCTATCGTGAGCCCTTCCTCCTCCGGGAAAATGCCACTGGAAAACTAGCTGATTTTACCACAACTTTCGCATTCATAATAGATTCAGGCCATGCAGATGGGATGGTGTTCTTTGTTGCGCCAAACGGATCCTTACTCAACAGAGCAGCAGGAGGTGGTAACAAGCTCGGCCTCCCTGTTGAAAACATGCCCGGAGACATCTCAAGGACTCAGTATCCATTTGTGGCAGTGGAGTTTGATATCTTCAAGAATCCAGCGCCAATCATCGAGGATCCTGACGGCGATCATGTTGGTATCGACGTCAACTCTCTCAAGTCTAATATTACCAGGCCTTGGAATGGTGGTATTGAGGAAGGAAAACAAAACAGTGCTCGGATTAGTTATAACTCTAGCTCAAAAAATCTCAGTGTTGCCTTCACAAGTTTCCAAAATGGTACAAATGGTACCCAAGTTGAGGTAATCAATCATCTTTCTTACGTGGTTGATCTGAAACAATACTTGCCGGATTGGGCCATCGTTGGGTTCTCTGCTGCAACGGGTAATAAAGTTGCTGTGTTTAAGATTGTCTCATGGAATTTTACTTCAACTGCTTTGGTTGATGAACCCAAGTCAGGAAATGCGAATGCCAATATAGGACTCCCAATTGGTTTGGGTGTTGGTGGGTGCCTAATCTTGGTTGCTGGGCTGGGTTTGGTTTGGCTCATTTTTTGGAAGAAGGGGAAAGCAGCAGGGGAACATGATGAGAATCCTTTTGCTAATAGCTTTATTCATGAGGAACTTGAAAAGGGCACCGGCCCAAGGAAGTTTTCCTACCGAGAGTTGGCTCGAGCAACGAAAAATTTTGAGGAGGGAGAGAAGCTTGGAGAGGGAGGATTTGGAGGCGTGTATAAAGGCTTCGTGAAAGACTTAAACTCACATGTTGCTGTTAAGAGGATATCCAGCGGATCTAAACAAGGATTGAAAGAGTATGCATCAGAAGTGAGGATCATTAGTAGACTAAGGCATCGGAATTTGGTGCAACTCATTGGTCGGTGCCATGAAAAAAAAAATCTCATGCTTGTCTATGAGTTCATGCCCAATGGCAGTTTAGATTCTCATCTTTTCAAAGAAAATGGCTTGTTAACTTGGCAGATAAGATACAGTATTGCTCAAGGATTGGCCTCTGGGTTATTTTATCTACATGAAGAATGGGAACAGTGTGTGCTCCACAGGGATATCAAGTCCTGTAACGTTATGTTGGATTCACATTTCAATGTGAAACTTGGTGATTTTGGGTTAGCTCGACTTGTGGACCATGGAAAACAGTCACAAACAACAAATGTGGCTGGAACCAGGGGTTATATGGCTCTGGAATACGTTACCACAGGAAAGGCTAGCATGGAATCCGATATCTACAGCTTTGGAGTTGTTGCTTTGGAAATTGCTTGCGGGAGGAAACCCATCGATCTCAGTTTAGAAAGTAGCCAAATCGAAATGGTGGAGTGGGTGTGGGAGCTTTATGGAGAAGGCACACTTATTCAAGCAGCCGATCCAAAACTTTGTGGACATTTTGATGAGAAACAAATGGAGTGCTTGATGATTGTTGGGTTGTGGTGTGCTCATCCGGATTATAAATTCAGACCTTCAATACAACAAGCGATCCAAGTGCTTAACTTTGAAGTTCCATTGCCCATTCTCCCATCCAAGATGCCGGTGGCCACCTATTTTGCTCCTCCAACATCACTCTCAACGTTGACCACTGACACTACTACTTCTTGAAGATGTCAAACTGAGTCTCACGACGAGGTTATAACACCGATTCCTCACAATTCACCCCATCTTCTCCAACAAAATTCGTGTCCATCAACAACATTTCAGTCTCCACGATAAGTCTAAGTTAATAATTGTGATAAACTGTGTTGAAATCTTTTGGAATTATCTTTCAATTGTATTCATTTAATAGTTGACAGCATTGTTGTGTTCATGTTGTAAATCTATACATATAAAGCAAAAGGTAGAGAATGGTAAAACATTCAAAATATCAGAAAATGTCATTGGTTAATGCAAACATTAAGAATTGAAATTATTAATTAAATGATGATAATATGGTAAATTCACACTTTTTTATATTAAAAAATTTAAAATTAAAAGAAAAATCAGATAATAGATCCTATTTTTATAGAATACAATTACCAATTATCTTTTTTTAATTCTAAAATAAATTTAAATTTTTTTAAGAAAAACCTCTCTCGCAAACACAGAAGCGCGTCAGAAAAGCTAGTACTTTATTAAGTTTTAACTATTTTCTTTTCTTTAGAAAGTTTTCTTTCACTGTATACTTTATAATATTTATTATATTATAAAGTATCTCTATTATTTGGGGAATGGGCACTTTCTTTGTAATCTTTACATTATACATCATCGTAAGAATCTTTACATTATACATCATTGTAACGTCGTTTAAAATTGCCCAAAGATTGATCTTAGTGATCATCTGTTACAGAAAATATAATAAGTTTGGTACAACTGTGTCTCACACATAAACTTTCACTCAAAGAAAATGTCAAAATACAGCGCCATTACAATTTCAATCCTTTTTTATTTATAAGCTTAGTCCATGCATGGAGCAGAATATTCAAATTCAAACTCAGAAATTATTGAGAGCGAGACAGTAAAAAAAATGACCAACAAACAAGCTAGTTCTTCTTCTGCAAGCAAATAACAAAGTTCATCTGTATTTAATTTTGGGTATACTAATGATTTGGCCCCTGAACTTGTACCAAACTTTCGATTGACCCCCTATCCTTTTTTTTTTAGAAAATTAAGGATATAAACTTTTTTTTTCCCTCCAATTTCCCCCTTACCGTCTAAATTCTCAATATCTCATCCAACTTTCAGTTAAAAAATTATTTTTTTGGAAAAAATTGAAGAAAAAGAGTAAAGCTAATGCCAACCCCTTCCATCTCCTCCCTTCCTCTCCTCCCATTTCCCCATGACCACCATCATTTACTCCCAAACCAATCTCCTACCCACACAGACCCTTCCCCACACCTCCCCCTTCTGTATTTT